CAGTCGTGAAATCGGATTGCGTGTAGCCATAAATCTGTGATTTTAATGCACGTTATTAAATTGCAAGCAGTGTCGGTCTTGGTCTCAGCCCCCAAAGTCACTCTCAGTCGCAGTCTCCAGGTCCCAGGCCCAGGCCCAGGCCCAGGCCCAGGCCAATAAAATGCAATTAATATGTTCCGCCAACCTGCAACAAAGTTCGCCCCGATAGCCGTCGCTTCGAGTGACTTGAAAGCTCGCCCAAACCGCTCCACGGATATCGCGATGGAGGGAGGTCTGGCTGGGGGAGTGCCCCGATCTTGTCTCGCCAAAGGCTGCCAAAGGAGTGTAGCCTCCATTTTGCTCACTTCGATTAAGTCCAAGCTCGGAATTTGCATTGTAAATTCAGCCCCAGCGATGTTATGGCCCGATATCGGCCGATGTCGACTTACACACGCCCACCGCCACCGCCACCGCCACCGCCACAGCCACAGCCCTCTCCTCCCAGCGACTGCAGTGGTAAGGTAAGCCTCGCCCAGCGTCGTACCCCGGTTCGTTATCGGCCGGCGCAAACAAGTCACGTCGCCTAATTTATGCGACGGCAACAGCTAAAATATTCGAAAAACGTGTCTTTCGATTTTTAATGGCCGCGCATAAATTTCAACATTAAGACTCGTAATAACTTCATTACACGAACTATAATTCCGTTCCTTTTGGCTTTGTTGATTTTTCGCTTTCCGTCGCCGCGCTGAAATGTCAACTTTTTGCCTCGATGCTGAGCCGATTATGAACACAGACAAATGCACAAATTCCAGTGGCAAATATAGGGTAAAGGGTATAGGGTCCAATAAAATAAATATTTATTAAAGGACTGAGGATGTAGCTCCTAAATGCAGGCATAGCCAATCGCTGAAGAAAGTGAATGGATAAGTAAGGGGACAGATATTACCTTTGAAATGAAGTGTATACCTGATCCCAATCCTTCTCATGATTAATTCCACTTGGAGACTATAATTGCAATCTGTGTTGGCAATAAAGAAGGGTTACCTCTAGCTACATATACATATGAGTATGCATTCTTGTTCCAGGAGTATGTACTTACATGAAACTTTTCAGTTGGGCTGGGTGATTTTGGTTTGGTCTCCGCAGCTCATCTCATGAATAACCAAAGAGGAATTTTTATATACAAATATGTATGTGTGTGTGTGTGTATGTATTTATGTAGTTATGTAGTATATGTACGCTCATACGCAGCCAACACGTGAGCTTAACTCGGGAGTTAGGCATAATCCCCGCCGCCTCGGCTGCCCCCCGCCGGTGAGTCCTGGGCTGGGTCCCGTCCCAGTCCCAGTCCCAGCTCCGAGTTGGCTGCCACAAATCTCATTTCGTATGCGTGTCCGCCATCGCTCGGCGATGAGGATGGCGCTGGCGGGGCAAGGGACGACAACAACAATGCGGAGGTGTTGATAGAATAACGCAGGGCGTGAATTTTTAGTCGAAATATTACACATGCTCGCATCCAGCACAAGCTCAGACACGTACGCAGCCCTGGGGTTATACATATTTAAGCCCCATAAAGGAAGGTAAAGGAGTGGAGAATTACGGAGCCCCTGCTCCTGCCACTCCCCTCCCCTCCCCGATCCGAGCCCACAATCAGTGGAGAAACTGCGAGCTGGGGTCTCAGATAAATGCACATATTAAATTTGAAACGTATTTGGAATTTTTGATGAGGATGAGAATGAGAACGAATTTGGGCTGCGACGGTGGTGAGACGTCCTCAGATGGCAATGGCAATGGCAATGGCGGCATATGGCCGTGGCAGGCAGGGGTTAAAGCCACTTTCGATGCGCTCGCATTTTGCTATAGTTTGGGAGGGTTGGGTTGTGTTGGCAGTTTCCATTTTCCTCCTGTTGGTTGTCGCTGCCATTTCCATTTCCATTTCCGTTTCTGTTGATGTTTCTGTTTCTTTGGCTCTTTTTGTTGCCGTTGCACATGTCCGCATGTGGAAGCGAACATTGAACCGAGCCAAGCCAAGTGTATCCATGAGATACAGACGATACGACGAGGCAGGGCGCGCGATTGCCTGCCATGGCCCCATTTGGTGCCCTGCCTCTCCATTCCTCCATTCCTCAATTCGTTGTGGTGGCTCAGCGGCTTGATTGAGAGCAGAGTGTCCGTCCATCTGTCTGTCTGTCTCTCAGTCTGTCTGTCCCAGTATCTGTATCTTGAGGCCGGCCATCGTGTGGGCACTCAACCCACTTGGCGGCGCGACTGGAGCTCATCTCGAATGCGCGCCCCTTATCCGATCCATTATTTCGATGGATTTATAGGCATGGAGGTTGGGCAGCCGCTCTCCCTCCACTCTCCACTCTCCACTCCGCCAGTGTTTGCGTATGCTTTTTATGCCTTTCTGCTGGCTCTGACTCTGACTCTGAGGTGGCTTCTTCTCGTTCTTCTTCTGTTCTCTTATCGCTCTTTTTTAAACTTTTTCGTGCCTTGGATAGATTCCACTCCATTCGAAGTTTCTGTGGTTATTAGTTGGTCTTTAGTGCCGCTGATCGCATCAAAATGAAATTGTGCTAGGGGGAGCTGGGCCCCTCACCAAACTGGAGACAGCTCTCTGAAGATACGAGTGCGGAAAACCTCAGCCTCAGCCTCCACCTCGACATTTGCATTTTGCTGTCTGCCACAGAGTTCGATTCGAGAGCGTTGATAACAATATTCACCCGCAGGCTCAGACCCAAAGGAAAGGCCCAGCACCGAGCACCGAGCACTGAGCAGGCCAGCAGGAAGGGACTCTTTTAGAAAGTTATATAAGCGATCCCGAAACACACAAACAATCCGTTTGTGCATCTTTGTGTCCTCATCCCCATGGCCGGTTCCTTGACAGGCCTTCCCTTGCCTTGCCGTCAATCCACCCTCAATCCTCAATGTGTTGCTCTAATTTCATTGTTCACGGTCTCTTGGCCCTTTGTTTGAGTTTTGAATATGCAGAGACAGAGACAGAGGCAGAGACCCGTTCGGTGTGTGGAAAAGGGTTCGGTTCGACTCGGTTCGTCCAACCGTCGCCACCATAAATCAGTCCAGCATCGAGGGGCAATATGCGTAGATATGCAATAAAATCATAAAACGATTTCTATAGGGCAGAGCGGCACCAGAAGACGCAAGAGGATGCTAAACGGAAAATTTGAATCTCAGCTCCGGGCCCCGGGTCCCTGGGAGTAGCCTGCAATGATACCGTTTCGTTTTCAGTTTGACGCACGGACGGCTTTCTTTTATGGCCTCTGAGCGTTAACTGGACGCAAATAGAGCTCGGCGGGGAGTCGGGGTGGCCGGGCGGGGGTTCGGGTTAGAGTTCGACTTGCTTGACATTTCTGTTGTATAAATATACAAATTCATATTTTGTATATTTTGTATATTTTGATTTGGTGCGCGTGCAGGCCGTGTCCTAGTTCCTACAGGAACTTCACAAATTTCGGACATTTCGGGCGGGTTTCGCGCATTTTCCATTGGACACAGATGCAGATACCCTGTGGAACGGGTAGCCTTTGTCACTGCCAGTGACAGTGGGAACGGGAATGGGGCTAGGCAGTGCCAGCAACGGCCCCATAAAACGCTTCTACATATTGTCAGAGGCGAGCAGACGACAATGCGTCTCCTCCTCGTTAGCTGCGGATGGGAATGGAATGGGCTCCGGCTGCATCTGGCAGATGCATACGAGTATGCAAATGAAAAGCAGATATGTATAGACATAGCATAGACATAGATATACAGAGGCATATGCAAATGCCGCGCGGCGACTGGTTATGCTCGGCCATAGCCCATAGCATAGTCCGACGCCCGCGGCGCATTCCAAAGTGCCCTATAAAAGTGTCACACTTTATATGGCCCCAGTCGACTGGGTAATGGCGATGCCAGGCCTCTGATTAGTCAGCGTCCATACGAATGGCCTAATGAGTTTTCCTCCGGGCCGATATGTGATATTTTTGCGGATGCAGCGGACCTCCTGAAGGTGAACAAACTGCAGCTCAGCGTGTCCCCTGGCGGGGCCCTCTGGCCAAAACGCCAGAGTAATTAAATCGGTTCAATTGCATTCAGCGACCGGGAGCTGTTTATTTGGCCAGAATTGCTTCCATAAACATTGCCGGATTTTATTTACACAACTCTGCGTTTCGGTCTCCGTGCGTGCGTGCAGCAGATGCCCCGCGGCCGAGAGACTAGGGAACTCGTTCACCTACTGCTGCCAATACTGCATTTTACAGCCAAGAATCGGATGTGTACACAAAATATATCTATAAATTCGAGCTGATGCACTCAGCAGGGAATGCTCCACATCTTTGGGGCAGAGCTACTGTCCCTGCCATTGGACTGGCTTCGATTGCTGATCGGCACCTCTACCTTGCCTTGCAATCGTTTGCAGCTACAAGTGTCGAAATCGTACGAAATCCTGACCCCCTGACCGTGCAGAGTGGCCTGGGCCACTGGGTGATTCCGACCAGTGTTTCAGGGCCGCACCGCTCCGCTCCGCTCGCATGCCACGTGCAATAAATCCAGAGACCATAATCAGGATTTATGGTTGCTGTTTCTGCTGCGGCTTCGGCTGCTGCTGCTGCTGCTGCTTTCGGCGGCGCTGCTTCAAACATTTTTATGATGTCTCTGCAGTATTTATGAGTGAACGATGTTGCAGGGGAGAGTGGAGCAAGGCCGCTTAACAGCCACTGATATTACGCGGCGGGCATAAAATCCGAATATAATTTGCAACAGGTGATAATTGTTTTACAATATGTTCGGTCATGCGGGGGCATGGCGGCGCCGAACAAGTGTATTTATGAGTGGGATGCGTGGGGCCCTGGGACGGGATGAATCGCTCATCCTGAACTCTGCGATTCTATTAACTGAGTCCAACTCTTCTTGTAAACTATTTATAAATACTTTGTCGGATTATTTCAATTTATTGGGCAAATAAACACTCGAAGTCTTGCGCGGTTCGCAGCTCAAAGATTGATTGATTGATTGGACTAGACTGCACTGGACTGAACTGGCTGACTGGTTGATGGGCTGGCATGGGAAATGGGGGAATGGGGGAATGGCAAAGGCCTGCCGCCGCAGCCTGCAATTAAAAAACTTTATGATTTGTTGTGATTTCTGTAATTGGCATTTTTACGAGGGCTACCTGACGATGCGGATTCCATACGGAATCGCTGGCCAGCGCCTCCGCTCGTTCCTATTCGTATTCCAATTCGTATTCCTATTCCTATGCAGTATTCAGTGCGGCTTTTATTGGCTTGCAATTAATTTACCATTGTTAATAGTTTGTCTGCCACGACCGCGGCCGGAATGGCTGCCAAAGGTGTCATAACTCACGTAATAAACGCCACACAGCCTGCTCGGCTTTGTCACACTGCCTCGCTGAGCTCTTTCCGCTCTCTGCTGTACGCTTCCGTGGCCCTGGCGCTGGCCGCCCCATAAATCCGCCATCGGCAAAAGCGAGTGGCAGCCACAACGGACCAGACTATCTCCTGCCTAGCCCGCCTAGCCCGCCTAGCCCGGTCCATAATTCACTCGCCTCGCTCAGAACACTTGAATGGCCCTCGCACTCGTAAAAGCGGGACAGCGGCAGCGGGCGGCAAAAGAGTTTTACAATCGTTTAAAAACTCGTCAAAAAATTAGACCTTAAAATATTGTATTTGCGTTTTGGCGTTTGACGAGCGTCGCTGCGTCGCAGCGCAGCGGATTCCCCGTCAATAGACAACACCACGACCGCCACCCACACCCACACCCACACACACATACGACAGGGCAGTCTTTGCCACTCCCACACCCACCGCCGGGTCCGATCGGGAGGGGGGAGGCCAGCTTTTACGAGCCAACAAAATATTTTTTATAATAGCAATAATTCCATGAGGCACTCAGGGCGCGCGGGCACGCGGGCGGTGAGGCGGCCCACAGTAAAAGCGTTTTGATTTGATTTGTTGTTTCTGTGCTCGGCATTGCTTGTGCTCGACATTTCGATTGTGATTCATCGACATCGTCATCGGCATCGGCATTGGCAACAATTAAAAAGCGTTTACTTTTTATTATTATTTTATACTCGGGTATATTTTTGCGCGGTGCATTTGGCGGAATGAAATGCTCGTGCAATATGTTTATCTCTCGCTCGACTCGCTCGAAAAGTGGGCAGGGCTCTTCTCATCCTCAGTCAGCCATTGGTCTTGCCTCTCGCTCTCGCTCTCGCACACGCGACCCGAGTGCGATCGGGCGATCGTTGGCTCGTTCGCACTCACGCTCCAGTCGGTCGCTGCCAGCGCGAGCAGCATGGCCGTTCGTGGATTTCGTGGTGAGTTTTTGTTTGGTGAGTTTCGCGCACACTCATGGCGGCTGCTCTGCCGCGACTGCGTCAAGGGCGGGGCAGCCATGGCGTGACTCTTCGGCTTGGGAGTGCAGCAGCTGCAGCTGCTGCTGCACTTCCCCCGCTGCGTGCGGATACTTTTGGATGGAAGGGAGTTCCGTAAGTGCCCGAGACACTCGTGGAGGATTCCAACCGATTCCAATGTTATTCAAGTCAGCAGAAAGTAATTGAAATGTGAAGTTGCTTTGTGATTTTTACATTACAATTATCGCATCTCATTGTAGAACCTTAACTCATAAAAAGACACGGCAGAATAATTTATGTTCCATTTTATGAGCCTTAAACACCAGCTATAATATTCGTTTTTGACTTGTTTGATGGGTGGGGACGGGGACCGTTTGATTTCCGTTTTTGCGAACGTTATGAGCTTCTAATCGAAAGGAGATGCGCAACACAAGTGAAGTGAAGTCTTCCCTAGTCCCAATCCAACGACCATGAATGACCGCCTCTTCGGAGGATTGCTCTGTCCCAGACACTCCTGCAACGAATGCACTTAACGCGTGCAGGTTCTGCAGGGAGCCGACTCCATCTGCGCGTGACTCACACTGTTTGATGCAGCTTTAACGAGTTGCGCTTTGTAACTAAATGCACAGTCCTAGGCGCCTCAGGCACTTCACAATTAATTTTATTAGCACTTAAGATTAAGAGGAAGGAGCGCTGCGGGCGACGCAGCGCTACAGCGCTACAGCGCTCGAATATAATTAAGGTAATATGAATAATAAAAGGAATTGCTCGGCGGCGGTCGCGCAGCAGAGCAGAATGAAACGCTCGCCGAATGCAAATTTCAGCGCAGATCTGAATCCACTTAACCTTTGTGTAACCTTTGCCCCAGCACACACGCATCGGAGTCCGATTTTGTGTGGCCACAAGTGGGGAGGAGAAGAGGTAAAACACATCACCAAGTCGGCTTGAGTCGTTTGAGCTTGTTTCCACCTACTCCCTGGCCCATACCCTGCCCCTGTGGCATACCTCCTCTGGCTGCAACTCTTGCGCAGCTCGCAAAATGTCAGCCAAACGAACTCAGCCCCCACCGCGGCGGCTCTGGTGTCGAGGCCGCTGGGATGGAGACGAGGAACGCGGGACACACCACCACCACTCGTGCCGCACTCCGCCAAAAGTTAATGGACCGTGCATGTTTTTCCCTCAGCCGTGGCGCTTAGCTTAGCATTATTTATGACGGATGAAAAACTGCCATTTCCACAGTCATTCGCCTACCCGGCTACCCGGCAACCCGGCTCGCCCACCCCACACTTCCTTTTCAACATTTTCGCGATTGGCTGCCGCCGCATATTTCGAAAATTTCCGCAGTTTTCACTCAGCCCGATTGGTAATTGTTGGTCCACTCTATTTAGCTGAGATTGAGCCATCAGCGGCGGGTGTCCGATAGGACTGCAGCTGACATGACTTTTGGCTAATCTCGGGTCTTACTCTCAGCCCTGATGAGCTCAGTCCTAGTCCTAGTCCTCGTCCTCCCCCTCCCTCTGCACTAGGTTTGGGAAGTATTTGGGAACATTGCAGAACAAATAGATTAAAGAAGGAACGGCTAGGTTTAGGTTCCTCTGTAGGTTCTAGGACTCTCTTTCCCCCCTCCAACGTGGGACCAGCCTTAATTAAACCAGCACAAAAAGCCGCGGCGGGGAGTGGGGCAGAGGCGGCGGCGGTAATCATCGTTAGCCACTGTTGGACTTTTCGTTTTTCGTTTCTCGTTTTTTGTTTCTTTAATAAAAATAATTACTCGCATTTTTTGTGAGCTGCTTCGTTGGAGGGTTTTTTTTCCTTCGCTTTTGTGGCTCAGAGCCGCAATTTTGAAGCGTTTTATGGCCGAGTTTTTGTTTCGTGAGTGTGTGTCCAGCCCCCTGCCGCTTCCCGTTGCCCTGCTGCCCCGCAGCTTTCCCTTCTTCAACTGCCCCCGTTGACTGCCATTTTTAAGCCCAGCGCTTTCCCACTGTCCGTCGTCAGTTGCTGTTTGCTGTTTGCTGCCTGACCGCCAGATTGCCATCTAAATGGCGTTTTTTCTTCTTCTAGCTCTCTCTGGCTGCTTGGCTTAATAATTTTCGGTTTACTGTGCCGCAGCAGTGCTTTCAATTTATGAAACACGCTCAGCTCACTTCCTTCCCGACCCCCCTGCACCAGGCACCAGGCAGCAGGCAGCAGGCCCGGTCCGGCCCCATCCTATCCTCTTCGGCGCATTCCCATCGAAACCCCAAAGCCCGCCGCTCGTTACGCGCTCATCTTGTTCGCTTGCGCCAGGGCCAGGTGGCAGGGCAAGGTAAGGCATGGAGCATAGGTAATCGCAATCAGTGGCAGTGGCGTCTCCAAGGCCGCTTGTCGAGGGGCGGAGCAGCGGTCTGCGGTCTACGGTCTGCGGCAACGCGTCGCTGATCAGCGTCCGCGTTTGTGCTCATGGCCAGCCCCAGCTTCGGCTTCGGCTTCAGCTTCAGCTTCAGGTTCAGGTTCAGCCTTCTCCACTCGCCAGCTGGTGCTGGTTGGCCAATTACACACAACGCTTAGCCCAGAGATTTTTCTACAATTTTGTTTGCTTTTGTCCGTTTTTCTCTCGCCTCGGCAGCAGCAACAGCAACACCAGCAACAGTTAATTGCACAAGTTGCTGTGGCTGACGGGTATTTTTAATTGTATTTTCCAGGTTTTTAATTAAAGCTCAACTTGATTTTCAGTTTAGTTGCAATTTCAGAGCTGCTTTTTGTTTTCGCACTTGACGCTGGCCTCAAACTGGTTTGGCTGTGATTGGCAGCCCAGAGCCAAACGGGCCAAACGGGTTTCAAAGCGAATCAGGATGCCGAAGATGTTTTACGATTCCCCCAGCAAATTACAGGCACTTGCACAGCCCCGTCAGATGAGGGGAGGGGAGGGTAGGGGGTAGCTGCTGGCACTCGACTTTCATCCGGCGGAATGGGGGCCCGTAGCCGTTGGAACCTGTAGCTCCCACAAGATACTGCCTCCATCTAGAGGGCACATTTGGGCCTGTTTCCGATCAGCCACGAAACAGTTTTCAGCTTGCAGTTTTCCACAGTTTCGTGGAATTTCCCTGCGACTTTTCACGCAACGTTTGCCAGACGCTCCGTCAGCCAACCGCAAAGTCCGTCGAGATGTGCAAAGTTTGCCTTCGTCTGGCATTAATGTTGCCGCTGGAATATGAATAAGCCCGTGTGTACGTACGAGTACTCGTACTCGTACTCGTACTTGGCATGGCCCTCGTGCTCGCATGTGTTTGTGTGATGTGAAATGGCCGCAGTCACACAGATACAGATACAGATACTCGCGCACACACACTCGCGGCCACAACAGAAATGTTATAATTAAAATAAAGCGAAGGAACACAGAGAAGGAGAGCGGAGCGAGCAGGCGGGCGAATACTCGAACCGTACTCTCGGTTCCGTGGACTTTGTCGGCTTGCTCTGTGTGGAGATGAGCCCCCTGCCGACGCCCCTGGATCCCACCGCCTGCGATCCCAGATCGCATTTGGACGTTCACTTGTTCGCGTCTTTGTGTCTCTTTCGGTCCCTCCCTCCCTCCCTCCCCCCTCCGTCCGACCGTTCGCTCCATCCGCCAGGCCATAAAACCCAAAATAATACTATGTAAAAAATGTTTAGTGTGTTTCTCTTCTTGGACGTCCCTCGGTCCCCCGGTCCACCCTGTCCACCGGTGCCGACCCCCCCTTCCAATGGCCCACATGCGACTGACTGCGACTCGCGATCTCGCTCGTGGTCGTCGTCGTCGTCGTTGTCGTGCTCGGGCCCGGAGACCGCTCTCGCTCCGGCTCCAGCTCTGGTGCTCGGGAACAGCGCCATTCGCGTTCGCGCTCGGTTCGCCAGTCTGCCAGTCTTTTCAGATTTCGTTTCAGTTGGGGTTTCGTCTAAACAACAAAATATTGAATTTAATTTTTTTAGTGTTAGTTGCTCTCTAACAATTTCGGAGTCGTTATCGCATGCGCGTTCGCGTCCGCGCCTCCGTTTTGGTTTCTGTTTCTGTTGTGCTTACCGCCGCCTGCTCCTCCGCTCTGCTATTTCTCTGG